GGCTATGTTAAAAACTGACTTCCATTTCCACTCTTCTTCCTGTGGCTGGGGGGTCACATACCTGCTATAATCATGGTATTAATAAGCACAGTGGATGTTCCTGCTGATTCTAGGCTTCTTACTAGTGAGCACAGTAGCAATTCCTGTAAGTAATACAATGGATTAGCAGTGAGGGAATCCTTGCTCTTCAGTTAAGGACACAGGAAAAAGAACAGTGCCGTTACCCTTTGTCGTCTGCTGCTGGTGGGGTGCGAAGACTGCAGACCCATCCGCACATGTGATGGGGGAACCGCATGGTGGAGAAGCATCAGGCTTTGTTCATGTCCCAGCACCTGGAAAGCAAGTATGCATGTCTCCAAATGGCTGTGATGGATGACAATAAATTTGTTTTATGCGACATTTATCCTAGGAAAACATTTCCAATCTGTCTTGAAACTAAGACCAACATCTATAATAAGGCTCACCTCACCCCCAGTGTGTGCTTCCAGCTGATCTCTGCGTGTTTCTCTACTACTCACCTTGTTTCCTACCGTCTTCTGGCCTCCCAAGACACACTGTGTTCCTGCATGTGCTGGGCTGCTTGTCATGCAGGGACTTGTTACATCCTCCTCCCCATTTTCTAACGCTTTTATTCACATATCACACAATTCATCATTTAAATGTACAACTTGATAGCTTTTAATATATTCACAAGGCTGTTCTTCACCCCAGTAAACTCATGTACATTGCCATTATTAAAAAAATCCTATACCACTGAGCCATCATCCTCAGTTTCCCCACCCCTACCCCTAGCCAAAGACTAACCTGCTTTTTGTCTCCATGTATTTGTCTATTCTGAACATTTCACGTAAACGTAATCATGCAATAGAGTCTTTTGTGTCTGGCTTCATTCACATGTATCAGCACATCATTCCTCTTTATTGAGGAACAACTGTCTATCCAATAGATACATTTTACTTATCCTTTCATTGGGTTCTTTCCATCTTTTTTGGTCATTATGAATGATGTGTGTACATTCTTACACTGGATTTTATGTAGACAAATATTGTCACTGCTCTTGGGCATGTGTCTAGGAATGGAACTGCTAGATCATGGGGAAACTCTGTGTTTAACTATTTGAAGAGCTGCCAGACTGTTTCCCAAAGTGGCAACTCCATTTTACTGTCTCACTAGCAACATATGAAAGCTCTAATTTCTCTACATCCTTCCCAATCTTGTTATTCTGATCTATGTTTTTTTTTTAGTTTATCAATCTAGGATATAGAATATCACTATGCTTTCTTAACTTTTAAACAGAGTAATTGCTACTCATTTTTAAAGCTGCAGATTGAAGATCAGCTCCACAGAGAGGTAGAACTTGCTCGTCACCCTGCTCTCTGGCTGGTCTAGCACTCATCTCAGAAAACCTCTTTTCTCCCCAAACCTCAAATTTAATCTCAGCAGGGACCATTCCTCCGATTTTTAATTTCTAATTCCATCCTCACTGTCTAGTCATTGCGTAAACTATAAAGTTGCTCATTAAAAACTAATATCTAGAATATATAAAAGAGTCTAAAAATCAAGCCCCCCAAATTTAAAGGCCAAACCCAAAAATGAGCATCTAAAATGCATAAGTACTTCTCAGATGAAGAAGTACAAATAGCAAATAAATATATGAAAAAGTCATCACTGGTCATTCAAAAACTGAAAATTAAAACAACATAGATTTTATCTCATTCCAGGAAGAATGACTATTTTTAAGAAATCAACTAATAACAAATGCTGATCAAGCTTGTCCATTGGTAGGAATGTAAATTGGCACAACCACTATGAAAGTGGAGATTCAGCAAGGAGATTCCTCAAAAAACTAAAACTAGAGGTTCCACTTGATCTAGCTATTACCCTTATAGGTATTTTCCCCAAAGAGTTTAAAAAAATATGATGCTACAGCTATATATCCATACCCATGTTTATAATATCACAATTTATAATAGCTAAATCTTGGTAATAGGCCATATGCCCATCAAAAGATGAATAAAGAAAATGTGGTTTTCCTCCCAGAAGAATTGAAAACATCATGCCCCAATGATATATGTACACCCATATTTATAGCAGCACATAAATAAGAGCTAAATCTTGCAAACAACCAATGTCCATCAACCACTGAATGGATAAAAAAGATGTGATTTTTTATACAATCAAATACTACTTAGCTATAAAGAAGGACTAATTTGAGGCTTTCGTGGATAAATGAATGTAATTTGAGACCAATTCATAAGTGAAATAAATTGTTTGCATGTGTAAACATTGTATCATCTCTTTAGTGTAAAAAACTGAAATAGTAAATAAAGCCCAAAATGTACAATAGATATTGTGAATGTGAAAGGTCAAGAAACTGCTTAAAAGGAAAAAAATAAGTGGGATGGGGGAAAGAAGAAAAGAAAGAAGGAAAAAGATTATATACATATATATATATGATAGATAATTATACTACTAATCTCTGTTAGTTCATCAAAAGGAATACCTTGTGTTTCCATTGTTTGATCATTTTTTTCCATGGGTATATCTTGTAATCTGTAATATGAGCAACTACTTTGAAGGTAACAATATGCCATATATTAATGATTGTTAATCACCTATTACATTGATTTGAAATTCTGTATCATTGTTTTTATTCTTTTTTAAGAAAATTTTTAAAAAGAAACTGTGGCCTTTTTTTTGAAATTGTGGTTTTTATATTCAATGGAGTACTACTTTACCTTACAGAAGAATAATCTTGAGTTACTTTTTGGGGGAATGGATGCATTTCAAGACCATAATTTTAAATGAAATAAATCAGACATACAAGTTTAAATATCACATTTTAAATATCACACTTTTTTCTCTTGTGTGAAACTCAAAGGATAAATAAAGAGCAAAATGGAAATAGATATTGGGAAGTAGGAAGAATTTGTTCAAATGAGAAGGAGAATGGGGCAGAGTTAAAAGAAAGGGAACAGAGATTTAAAAAGAAAATGGAAGGAAAAATGGAAACAAAGCTTTGGTAAATGAGGAAGGGAAAAGGAGTTTAAGAAGAAAAGGGAATGAGAAAGAAAGAAGAAAGATATCTTCTGCACGGGTACAAATTTCTCATGATGGATGTGATCGTTGTATATGACAAATGTGTATAAATAAAAATATATAAAATTTTTTAAATGTCAAAAGTATGTTAAACAAATGACATACAAAAATAAGAAAAAACATACACTGTATGAAGATTCCCAGTTTCAGAATTGACATGATTACTACATCAGGACACTTTCTTGTCATTGAGACACAGTACCAACATCACAACTTAGAGAAGAGCTTTCATCTGCTCACGTTTTAGTCCCTGATTCCTCGGCTCCAAGGCAGAGAAATCATGGGGAAGGGAGGGCAGGGCGGTGCCGCTCCTGGTACACAACAGAAGGGCTGAGGGACCAGAGGCGACTTCAGAGCCACGCTTTCCATGACCCATGTGGATCCGTCTATATTCCATCTGTGCTTCATCCATCCTGGAACAGACCCCAAAGCCAATCAAGATGAAACTCCACCCAAACTGTCACAATTACATTTTCAATCTCCTTCATCCTTCAGATCATTAATGAATATTTTAATATCCCTGATAAGAGCAAGAAAGAAGGTATTCAATATAAGCATGATACATTTTTCTGGATTATACTGTAGTTGTACACAAAAATGTACAACTACAGTATACGTAGTTATGTACAAGGAAAAATCTCTTTGTATCAACAGCTTATCCTTAAGCAGGAGAATTCATTCCCAAGTCATTTATTTTTAAAAATTTGTATAAATGACTTAGGGGAATGAGTTCTCCTGCTAAAGTTGCCATCTAGATCCTGCTCCAAGAGCTTGCAGAGGGTCTAGGGTGGGACCAGGGTTCACTGTGAGTGGTGCTAGGGTTTCATCTTGAAAGAACTTCCATTCTGGTTAATAATTTTCCTAAGTAACATGAACAGGTTATTGGAGAAGTCTGAAAATCAGTCTCTGGAGTCAGATGTAGACTTAAATCCAACTGATACTTTATTGACACAAATAAGATACATTCATCTCTATTTCCTAATAGCAATTTCCAAAGAAGGATTTTGGTTCCTCCACTACATTGCAGTTTAACACTGAGCTCTTGCTCATGACCTGGGCTTACAGTATGCAGATGTAACACATCTTCCCTAAGTGTCATCCGCTGAATAGGAAGTATTTTTCAAGCATCTTATTTGTTTCTATCAAGGAATACATCCGGATGCTATCTGGATGGAAATCATTCTCTCAAATAGAAGTTCTAAAAGTTCAGTCAATTTGAGCCTATCAGTTCTCTGACAGAACCAGGAATGTTCATTCATCTATCCAAGTACTAAGTGCATAACTTAAGCTTTCCATATACACAGAGAGGAAGATCAAGATTTACACTGCGTGGAAATGTGAGTCACTGATAAGGGGCATAAGAGACAGGAAAGTGTTCAAATGCATGACTGAGATGATTTAACTGGTAACAAATGCTGCAAGAAACCTTGCACAGCAGTGCGGTAAAGAAAACCTCTACAGGAAAGGGTCTGCTTTGGAGCAGTGGTTAGGAAGATGCTTTCCCGGGAGGTGTCAGAGCTGCCATTCGAATGTCAAAAAGGCAGTCTGGGAAATGTCAGGGGGCAGGATGATTTGAGGACAGTGGACAGTCAGCAGTGAGATACACAGATAAGGCCATGCTTGGCATCGCTGAGAAGTGGAAGGGAGCCAACGTGGTTGGAACACACAGCAGAGGCAGGGTCCAGTGACATGGCGAGGACACAGGATGCAAAGCTGGCGGCCACCTTGTGGAGAGGAAGTGTGGGGCATGATGGTGAGGCTCAGTCTAATGTTTCCTGCAGTGGCCATGTCCACGTGCCTAGTTACAATGTCTGTAAATCCCTTGGTCGATGTCTTCGGTTGGCAAACCTCTAGCTTTCTCTTCAGAGCATTCACATGTCCTCTTCAACTCGGTGGTTTAGGTTGCACCAGGTGACCTTTGAGGTGCCCACCTGCGAGGGGAAGGGGCGGCAGAAGCTGGCGCTGATTGGCGACTCCTCGTCTTCTGCAGAGTTCTTCGTCACCGTGGCTGTCTTTGCCTTCCTCTACTCTCTGGCTGCCACCGTCGTTTACATTTTCTTCCAGAACAAGTACCGGGAGAACAACAGGGGCCCGCTGATTGTAAGTTTGAAAGAACTTTTTCTGTCCTTTCTAATTTCTTTTGCTGATGCTTGAAGGGCTTTGGAGTTCCCGAGACCCTGAGGCAGGTATTTGCAAGGAATTCATATTCTTTTTCATCCAAATTTCTTGGATGGACAAGAGAAACATGATGCCTGTCGAGTGTCTTGTGCTCTTCCTTGGGAAGGCACAGCAGGACTTGCTGGAAACCCTCTAAAATGAATGGTTTGGAGGTTCACAAGATCGAGGAAGGAGCTGTAAGGCTTGCCGCAGATTTCCTTATCACCGCAGCATTGCGAAGGAGCTGCTTTTCTCACTGGCTTTTCTGACAGAGATATTTTTGTTTATTTGAGGTGTGTTGTTCCTCAGTATTTGATAGTCTGTGACCAAAACGGTTTGGTTTGAAATGACATTATCCATCTCTTGTATACCCTGCTCACTCTTGCTCTCTCCCTCCACTGTCAACCATCCCAAAAACGACCACTTCCTGTTTCCTTATACAATGGTGCAAAGACTCATCTGGATGAAATCAACATGGGACAGTGTGTATAACACAGGCGTACACACACCCAGAAGCATACAAAGACCCTCAAGGGTGTGCATAGGCAGGGATAATTTTAAGAAAATAAACTTTAAATTATGCCTTGCCTCTGAAAATATCTTGCCCTCTTTTTCTTAATCACTGTGTTAGCTTTCTGTCACTATAACAAAATACCTGAGATAATTAATACATAACGAGAAAGGGTTATTCTGGTCCACTGTTGTAGAGGTTCCAGCCAGTAACTGAATGGCTGCATTGGTTTCAGCATCTGGCACTGAGGCCAGATGGTAATTGCAGAAAGGTGTAGCAAGGTGAACCCTTCCTCTCACAGCCAGAAAGCAAAAGGAGAAAGAAAAAGAGGCGGGGTAATGCTGTTGCCTTTGCAGGCTGCTCCAGTGACCTGCAATGCCCCACAGACAGCCCACCAGGTCCCATATCCCAGCAGTGTGAGCCTAAGGACCAAGTCTTTAGCACCTGGACCATGGGGAAGAGATTCACCATCCACAGTATGACAATCATCTTTCCCATTTCATAAAGAAAAGCATCTGCCTTACTACATAGCATATTTGTAGACTGCAAGACATTTGAAGCACTGAAAAAAAATCTGAAATACTGATGCTGACAAAAGTGAGTCCAATTCCACTCTGACAGGAAATATCAAGTCCAAAGAACATCACAAAACCCAAAGGGAAGAAGCTTGCATTGCTAGTTTGTCCACAAAGTGGGAAAAGCTCTATTTTGTTATGTAAAACCACATTCTACTCAAATGAAACCAACCCGGAAAGGTCTGCCCTCTCATCCTTGTGTGATCTTTCCCATCAAGCAAGAGCTAAGGAAATCTCCAGCTGTATTTTGTTTTAGGCAGGTTTTATTTTATTGCTTCCTGGTGGAGATAATTTCAGTAATAAAAAGGGGAAAACACCAAGATAAAACTTACGTGATATTAAAAAGGGATGTGCTTGTTACTTAGCAGATAAAAGTAATTTTAAAAGAGACGAGGTGAATACGAAATTTTTTATAAAAAGAGGAATCGGGTTATGTTATGTACGTGTACCTGCTACCCACAAGGAATGTAGGGCAGATTTAAGCAAATCTTCAGTGCGGGCAAGACCTGAATAAGGTGGTGCTTACTTAAACCATGCACCACCTGGCAAGCACAAGGTCGTCAGTTTGATCCCCAGTACAAAAAAAAAAAAAAAAGTTCTGTAGAACATGGTGATATGCATTACACATACATAAGATCAATGCATAAGGAAGAGACAATGATAATAATGACCATAATAATCACTGGTTTTCATCCATGTGTCAAGCTAATTTAATACTCACAATAACCCCAGTGTATGTTATTATTCACACTTATAAATGAAGGAAAGGAGGCTTTGAAAAATTAATTCTCCTAGGTCATATCATGACTAGGCAGAGGGTATAGAGTTTGGACACAGATCAAATCCAGGGCCCAGAGCACCACCATGCAGAGAGCCCAGGATCCTTACAGACAACATGCCATGGAGGCAGAGTGGACACAGGTGAGACAGGTGGCTTTCTCCAACTACAAACAGACTCCACAAACCCGGTGACCCCTTGGATCTTCTGCTCATTACACTGTCATAAAGGATTCTTTTCCTTGCCTTCAAACTCCACTTGGAGTCAGAAAGAGATTGGCATAAACCCAGGATGTTAGAACAAAAGGATGACTCTGCTTGTGGTGCAGTTTTATTTCTTGAAGACAGAATGAGAGAAAAGAGGTTTTAAAAATGGCCAGGTCATTATGTATTACAAATCAGAGGTTACAAGGATTGGTTCCTGTAGCTGTGTAAGGAGAGTGAGCAATTTCAGACAGACTGAGGCCAAGTTTGTCAAGGGTTACTTTAAAAAATACTTTATCTACAATACAAGTGATAAGATTTTCCCTCCCCTTTACGTAGAAATGAGAATCTGAATGTCTTCAGAAGCAACATGATTGTTAATGATGCTAACACAGTAGCGAGAAAATCGTGCCAAAGGAATCCACCAGCTACTGTGTGTCACTACGTCGGCGCCGTCTTGTACATATGAATAAATATGCATTCTCAGAAAGTGGAAAGGGCCATCTGAAGGGGTGCATACTCGTGGAATTGAAATGTCACATCTGGTTATATCACTTTGTCACGCTCCTCAGAGTACAGTTTTAAAGCCAATCTCTTGCTTAGATTTCTGCGACAAGACATTCTGAGGCATTTTTAGATCTCATGTCAAACAGGGAGGCTTTAAATTTTCTAATATTAAGGTAAAATAGGTTTACAAGAATAAGGTAGAAAGGATGCTTTAAGAACACGTTTATTAAAAACACCATCCCACATTCCAGTGAACCCTCTCCAGCGGTTCAGTTTAAATTAACTATTCCAAGAACCCAGGAGGCTCGCCATGTCCACCTTAGATGCTGGAGAAGTGGCCGTGTTTCCTCACTTCTCACCCCTATGGAGCCAGGCTGAGCAGAGGGGTTTGCAAGGCAGGGAGCACTTACTCACTGCAGGCGCCCAAGGGGATTGTGGCTCACACTTGGTTTATGCCTAAAGCATTTGGAATGTTTCCACATGCCTACATCTGCCTGGAAACGATCCTGAGAGACAGGAATGAGAATCAGTCCCATTCTACAGATGTAACTTAATATCCCGGCTGCCAGGTGCTCAGGGTGGGGGCGGGGGGGGGCATGCTCCTCTTAGCCATCAGCAGCCTACACAGGGAAAGGGATGGGGCTGGTGACAGAGCCATGGCATCCCACTGGAACAGCATCACTGATCTCGATAATGCCAGTTATCCTCCTGCCCATTATGAGGCACCCTACAGTGGCAAGCCCAGGCACCTTCCTTTACCTGACTCCCATCCTCAGGACCCCACTTCCCTTCCACCCCTCAAACCCAGGCACCATCTCCAACCTCAAGTCCACAAAGATGGCTTAACTCAAGATCCTTTCTGAGATCGCAGTCACCGGGGTGAGCCTCCCAAGCACCCTTTCTGTCCCCACTTGAGCCCTGCTCTGTTATATGACTAGAAGGAAGACTCATGGTCCCCAGTATTAAGTCGGATCCTTCAGTTTCAAGTAAAGGCTGTGGCCGTAACTGAGGAAGAAAAACAGAAGGCTGGGACATCTGATCTAGATGTTCAGAGCCCAGGTTATTTCTTATCAGCTACACTGTTATTTGTGTAGTGTACACCTGTGCTTATGTGTGTATGTGTTTAATCAGAGAAGAAAATCAGAGTGCGTTCTGTGAGCTATGCAGATGTTGTAGGAAATCTCTCTCACACACACTCATTCTCTCTCCTTTTTCTCTTCTCTCAGCCCCTCTCCTGTTCTCCTTTCCGCTGCTCTCCCCGCTTCTCTGTCCCATCTTGTCAGTTCCACTTCTCATCTCAGCATGCTCCATTTTAATAGATAATAAGGCCAAGCAACGTGGACCTCGGGCTGAATTAGAGCACCCAGTGTGGTGAAGAAACCATTGACTCATTGTGACTCTGGGGCGCACGTCCTGCTGGAGGAAGGGGTCTCTCTCAAGAGTAGTGGTACACTCTCCTGGGCTCCAGGGGTGCAGACTGTTGAAAAGTATGCCAGCGCATTTAGAGGCCAGCGAGGAAGATGAATGGGGGACACTGGTTGGGAAATTCTGCCCCAGGAACAGTGTATTTAATGCTACAAATAATATCATTTGAAGCCCTGCTCGTATGTGCCGTTAGTCTTGGGAATGCTTGTCAGAATCTGTCAACAATACAGAAGGGTATGGACTTAAAGAAACTCTCAATGTAAAGTACTATAAATTATATCTGTCCCGGGAAGCTCGGGAGTCTCCGGCTTCAGCTCAGTAGTTGCTTCCTTTTTCTCTGAATAGTTCCACTTCCCTGGACCTCTCTATCTTTCACTGTGTTTGTTTCTCTTGGTCCATGAATTTCACTGCCAGGTCCCATTTGCCACGTGCTGGGGGGGGGGGGTGCTCCTCTTAGCTATCTGCAGCACATATGACCACCCCTCCTCCCAATCTAAACATCTCAACCTAGCAGCCTCTTTCCCCAAAGCTCTGCCTTCTATTCCAGCTGACAGCCTGGAAGGGAATGTGGTTCCAACCCCAAATTCCTGGCCAGTTTTAGATGTTAGTCGTCAAAGAGTTCTTGCCTTCTCCCCAAAGACAGCAGGAGGCTTTATGTTGCTCCTGACTCCATCTCTAATGGTGAGACTTCAGCCAGTTGAGTAATTCTAGGCAACTCAGGGCCCTAGTTTAACCTCATCATAATTACCACAGGAAGACAGAAGGTTGGGAAAAAAGGGAGCAAAAAAATTACCCTTAATATCTATAATATCCATATGTTAATATGTTAATATCCATAAATTTTTGATATTGGAATTTCCTTGTAGTAACCTCAGACATTATTGGCTTTTAGTTTTTTTTAATTTAAAGTTCACATGATGCTTCCTTTTGGCAATAAGACACAT